GTGTGAATTTGATCCTGCCATTTTGGTACTGGCTGGTTTTCTTTCTCATTAGTTGACTCATTTTCTTCATTGCATTTTTGGTCTTTGCCAACTGGTTTGCTTTTGCAGTGACTGGTACTTGTTCCTTTCCATGCTTAGTGTTTCTTTCAGGAGCTCTTGTAGGGCTGGTCTGATGGTGACAAAATCTTTCAATAATTGCTTGTCCATGAAGGATTTTATTTCTCCTTCACTTATGAAGCTTAGTTTGGCTGGATATGAGATTCTGAGTTGAAAGTCCTTTTCTTTAAGGATGTTGAATATTGGCCCCCACTCTCTTCTGGCTTGTAGAGTTTCTGCTGAGAGATCTACTGGGAGTCTGATTGGCTTCCCTCTGTGGGTGATCTGACCTTTCTTTCTGGCTGCCCTTAGCATTTTTTCCTTCATTTCGACCCTGGTGAATCTGACCATTACATGCCTTGGGGTTGCTCTTCTTGAGGAATATCTTTGTGGGGTTCTTTGTATTTTTTGAATTTGAAATTTGGACTGCCTTGCTAGGCTTGGGAAATTCTCCTGGATAATATCCTGGAGTGTGTTTTCCAGCTTGGATTCAGTCTCCGCATCATATTCAGGTACACTGATCAAGTGTAGGTTAGGTTTTTTCACATAATCCCATATTTCTTGGAGATTTTGTTTATTTCTTTTCACTCTTTTTTCTCTTGTATTGCCTTCTCTTTTTACTTCATTGAGTTGATCTTCAATCTCTGATATCCTTTCTTCTGCTTGATCGATTCAGCTATTAAAACTTGTGTTTGCTTCACGTAGTTCTCATGCTTTGTTCTTCAACTCCATCAAGTCATTTATGTTCTTTTCTAAGCTGGTTATTCTAGTTAGCATTTTGTCTAACCTTTTTTCAAAGTTTTTGGTTTCTTTGCATTGAATTAGAACGTGTCCTTTAGCTCTGAAAAGTTTGTTATTATCCACCTTCTGAATCCTGTTTCTGTCAATTCTTCACACTCCTTCTCAGTCAAGTTGTGATCCTGTGTTGTTAAAGAGTTGTGATCCCTTGAAGGAGAAGAGGTGTTCTGGTCTTTGATGGTTTCTCCTTTTTTGTGCTGGATTTTCCCCATCTTTGTGGATTACCTGGCTTTGGTGTCAGAGAGCTGCTTGATGAGGTCACTTGTCTGCCTGTGGGGGCTCTACTGGGTTTCTAGGGACTCCTTCAGGTTACTAGAGAAGCTTCCTGTGTCTTTTTTGTTTATGCTGGGAGATTAGGCCCACCTCTTCCACTGATCTGTAAGTTCTTCTGGGTTGTCAAGAATGCCATCCCATTGCTACATAGGTTTCCTGTGTTTTTTTGTTAAAACATGTAGCCCAGAATGATGGTTTCCAGGTTCATCCATGTCCCTGCAAAGGACATGAACTCATCGTTTTTTATGACTGCATAGTATTCCATCGTGTATATGTGCCACATTTTCCCTGTCCAGTCTATCATCAGTGGGCATTTGGGTTGGTTCCAGGTCTTTGCTATTGTAAACAGTGCTGCAATGAACATTTGTGTGCATGTGTCCTTATAGTAGAATGATTTATAATCCTTTGGATATGTACCCAGTAATGGGATTGCTGGGTCAAATGGAATTTCTATTTCTAGGTCCTTGAGGAATCGCCACACTGTCTTCCACAGTGGTTGAACTAATTTACACTCCCACCAACAGTGTAAATGTGTTCCTATTTCTCCACATTCTCTCCAGCATCTGTTGTCTCCAGATTTTTTAATGATCGCCATTCTAACTGGCGTAAGATGGTGTCTCAGCAAACTGACACAAGAGCAGAAAATCAAACACCGCATGTTCTCACTCATAGGCGGGTGTTGAACAATGAGAACACATGGACACAGGGAGGGGAGCACTACACACTGGGGTCTGTTGGGGGGAAATAGGGGAGAGACGTTGAAGGGTGGGGAGTTGGGGAGAGATAGCATGGGGAGAAATGCCAGATAGAGGTGATGGGGAAGAAGGCAGCAAATCACACTGTCACGTGTATAACTATGCAACAATCTTGCATGTTCTTCACACGTATCCCAAAACCTAAAACACAATTTAAAAAAAAAATCATATAGCCCAGTCCCACCCCTCTAGTGGTGGGTTGTGCCCTTCCTCCACTGGGCTGGATCATTCAGGGTTCATCTCAGACTGTGGCACTGGCTATGCAAACCATTAGAGTCAGAGCTTCAGCCCACTGGGGTTTGTGGGGGAGGTTAGGGACCCACCCAGCCGTACCTTGCAGTCTCCCCCTTTCAGCTTTCTCTCTCTCTGGTCATGGGGTAGGGGACACCCAGCTGCTCCTGCTTACAGCTCCCTCTCTCTCCTGATGAGGGGAGGAGACGATAGCTCAGTCTGCAGGCTCTTATTCAACTCCGCACTTGTAATTCCAGGCGCTTGACTGGCAAAGATCCCCTGTTCTGTTTATTGGTGAGGCTTTGGGGGAAGAGCTGTATCTAGACCGGAGTGCCAGAGGTGGAGCCTCCGACTTGCCTGTCAGGTGCACTTTCTAGGTGAAGCAGCACCCCTCCCTGCTTCGTTCTGCCCTGAGTGGGCTTTGCTCACCCTTGGACCAGACCCATTGAAATGTACCTGCTACCTCAGTTGGAGCTAGGAGATCTCGGTTTCTGCATCTCTCTCGCTGGGTATTGTGCGCTGGAGTTGTGTCTAATCACCCATCTTGGATCCTCCCTCCTAATACCTACTAGCACGCTTTTTTTTCAGTGTGAATTTTTAAAAAGTGGAACAAGAGGATATCATGTCACTTCCCTCCAAACAAATGCCAATTGTTCCCATCTTTTATAGGTGAGTTCCAACGTCATTAATTTATGCTTCAAGATCCTCCATAATCATGATCGTGATCTTGCACGTTGTTATCTTTCGAGCCATGTATTTCAGTTTATCTCCTGAGTCATCCTAGATTCCAGACACATATATTATTTGCTATTCCATATACATGGAAAGTTATTTCCAACCTCTGTGCCTCTTTGTATATTATCCCTTTATTCTTGAATACTTTTACCTTCCCCTAGGTGCTCTTCTTACCACCTATCATTTTTTTAAGAGTTAATTCAAATATCACCTCCTGCATGATGCCAAAGAAGGCTGAGACCTACTTAGTGCTGCAATAAACTTTGTTTCTCCTAATTTCATTTGAAATGACTCATATCTGATTATTTGCATATTTTCTCCAACGTACAATAATAAGCTCCTTAAAAGACTACTTTCTAGTTTTTGTTTATATTCCTAGGTTCCTAACTTAGTACTTTGGGCAAAATAGGTATTAAGACAATATTTTGTAAGTCAATGAATAAGTAGCAATATGGAGAAAATCTTATTATTTTCAGGTGCAGAACCCATTCTTCCCTCCCAGACCTGGTTTTTATTAGATTGCTATGATCATTCTTGTAGTATGAGGAGTGAGAGCTCTATGTGAGGAGTAACAATAAATGATGACTCAACTGTTTTCTAAAGGAGATGGTTTCGTCTAACTGTTTAATGTGTGTGTTGCTCAATGGAGTATAATGTTTTGGCAAACTAAATGTTCCAAGACAAAATAAGTAATTTGAGAAGCCCTATGAGTTAAGGGCTGGGTTTAGAGACAGAATCAGGGAGCTAAGCAGGCTGTAGCAAGAGAGGAACTTCAGTTATAGAACAGAGACCTAAGGAGACATTTAAGTTTGTCTCAGTGATATAAGTGATTATAAGGGAGAAAGAAAGCATGACTGATTATAATGCTTTATCATGTCCTTTGTACAGTGATATTTTTTTCCTGTATGATTTAAAATGGAGAGCTAAATAAATACCACTTACTAAAAGTCAAAGTAGCAGGATACTAAGATTTCAGCAATGGCTGATGAGCTAATGAAAACACTCTATTACACATATCAAATTCTCCTGAATTTTTTTCATCGGCAAGCATTCTTTCTGATATAGTATTTTAAAATATCAATGCTGAAGCTTTTTACTTTCATAAGCAAAATTATATTTTATGCTTATTAAATGCTATATGTGTTTATCTGTATTCATATTGTATATATGGCACTACTTCAATATTATACATTGAGAATATCATAAACAGTTGGAATCTTCATTTATATTTAGGTACATTTATGTGTATGTGTAAATGTTAATTATACTTTTAGTTAAAAATCAAGCTGAAAAATTTATGTTTTAGCCACCAAAATTAATCTTATGGAAGCATATGAAAGATAATGGGTTACATGCAAATAAATAGCATATAAAGAATAAGAACACAGAACCTAAACTGTGACTCTGCCACTTAGAAGCTCTTTGCATATCTTCAAGTAATATGATCTATTACAATTAAATTTCCTTAAATATAAAATAGGCTTATTAGTAGTAGCAAACTCAATGGCTTATATAAGAATGGAATGATCAGCTGTTTAAAAGTACACAGTACTTGAATTTTCACTACATGTTGTCATTTTATTATCATGATTATGTTACATCATCATCTCTTCCTGTTAAAACAATATAGCACTAGGGCTGGGCACGGTAGCTCATGCCTGTAGTTGGGAGGCCAATATTGATGGATCACCTGAGGTCAGCAGTTCGAGACCAGCCTGGCCAACATGGTGAAATGCCATCTCTACTAAAAATACAAAAATTAGCTGGCACAGTGGCACGCACCTATAGTCCCAGCTACTCGGGAGACTGAGGCAGGAGAATCACTTGAACCCAGGAGGTGGAGGTTGCAGTGAGCCGAGATTGTGTCACTGCACTTCATTCAGCCTGGGCAACAGAGCAAGACTTCATATCTAAAAAAATAAAAAGGAAAAAAAAAAAAAACTCACTCAATAGAGATAAACGTATATCTAACCCTGTTCCTTGGAAGGAAACAATATCTGATCTTTCCCACTAATCTTATAATTTGGGTGTGCAAAATTTCTAGTTTTATTTGAATCAAACTCAACTGATTACAAGTTAATTATATGTTATTTCTCTCTTGCTTCTCTACAGTATGCCGTCTGGCTAGTCCTCTGGGTTACGTGGAATGTGTTTGTTATCTGCTTCTACTTGGAGGCTGGGGAACTCTCAAAGGTAATTTACCTCTAATTTGCCTGAGTCATCAGTAGTGTGTTGACAAGTCTCTTCCTAAGGCAGAGTCACATCCTGTTCTGCTTGCTTAGATGTACCTCAATGAAAGTAAGTTGGAAGGTGTCTGGATTTATATTTCTGTGTTTTTATCATCAAAAATATGTTTGGTGAGTCACAAATATGTACTTTTTCTTAAGCAAAACTAACATGAAGTGTTGATTGTTATAGTGACCAAGTAGTGCACTCTAAAACATTAACCAATGAGAGATTTCTGAAGCAAAATATGAAATTTTTTCAGAGAAAATTATCTTAAAGATTTCTGAAATCACTTAGTTGGTGTCCTGCTAAACATTTTCCTTATTGGTTTTAAAGGGCAGTGCAGTAATTTAAACAGTTAATGGGTTTTGGTTGAATGAAATTGTTATTAGAGGGATATGATATATAAGTGAAAAAAGTAAACACTTTATTCTAAAATAGGCTAGGAAAACTAAATACTTGCTTTGTTCATTTACTTTTTTTGTGTGCTCTATATATGATATATTGCTACTATGTTTTTCACATGGATGCCCTTACTACTGAAATAGTATAGGTTTTAGATCTCGAAAACCATCATCCTATCAAAATGCAATTAATAGCAAATAAGTCAAATGAGGTGATCCATTTAAGGTAGTAGTGAAGTCTGACTCTTGAGAGAGTTTCAAACTTGTATGTACTTCTGCATATTTAAAACTTTAAAACATAAACATTGTAAAATGTTATTCTACTTACCCTGTATTAGAGCAGAAGGCCCCTGCAAAGACATTGATATTTTCAAAACCCAGGGATACTCACATGCCTTAAAAGACCAAAAGAGCTAAAATGAAAATATTTAAAAGAAAATTCCTTAGGAATTACCTTTGCCTTGCCAAGCTATATATTTGGGGAGGAGAGAGAAGAAAATGGTAATACACATTTATGATATTACTTGCAGGAGTTTCACAAAGCACTCAGCGTGTGATATTTGTTTAATATTTAACTGTGATATATGGCTTTATATCAAGTGAAAATCATCTATGTTTGTTTTCATTCAATGACAAAAGATGAAGGACAAAATAAGAGGAGGACATTACGATATGAGAGAGAACCAAAGCGTCTTGAGTGTGTAATTTTGTGATCAGAATGTGGACAAGTCCTCACTGTGGCTGGCAGAATCTCCCTAGAGGATGCCATTTCTGCTTTTTTTTACAGGGAATCATTCCCCACACTCTGGTTAGCAAGCAGTCTTTTCAGGAAGGTGCTGTGACCAATGAAAATAAATTGTTTCGTGGCACTAGGAGGGACCCAGACAAGATTGCTACTTAAAACTTGCATTCGCCTCAGTGTAAAAAAAGCAGACACACTTTCCCAAGGACTTGAATTCCTTGCCCAATTTATACATCTCTGCTACTCTATAATCCACTTTCTTCAAAGAAATTCCACAGCAGAACGACTTTTAATGATATTTTCAATTTTAAATAATCACTTTAAAAATTGTAAGGCAGGTGTTCAGACATGCTGGCTGAGTAAAATGATCCAGCAGATCAGAGAATTTGTTTAATATTAAGAAAAGAGAGAAAGAGATTTGAACAAAGCTGGCTGCACAAATGTTCTGTAATTGTGCTCACTGCTCCACATGATGACTGCATGCACAGAATAAAGCTGGTGATTTCATGACCTTGGACGTAGGTATTGAAACTACAGCGAGGGCACTAAGAATTCTTCCAATGTACACAGGCAGATAATGACTATCCCTTGGCAATGAAACAGTTAATAATATTTTATTTTCTTCTCATCTTATAAACCAAGACTAGGCTCTGCAGAGCACATGAAAATTTAATAATTTCCTTTTTAACCAATAATCTAAAGGAAACCCATAAAGGGCAAAGTTATATTGTTATCTGTGCTGGGTTTTTCCTCTCTTTCCTGTTCAAAGGGTTTGAAAAAGTTGTATTTATACCATTTAATTCTTTAGTTGTTGCAACTGCCTCACATTCTTCAAGTAGTACAGTGCCAGAGGAAGTAACGGTAATGGAAAAATGTGCAGATAGATAGAAACTCAAAAATGGTACACATGAAACTTCTGTTAATACTTAAAAAATGTAACCATTGTTTTTCTCAATCCACACACAAAAATATAATTTGAATATATCTACCCTATTAATGGATCAGTTAGTTTGAGGCAGAGGAAGAAATATGTGAAATAGAATCAGGGTTGAAATTCTGTGGGCTTTATATATGTGAAAGAGGTGTATTTATTTCCATGAAATGTTTGGAAATAGGTGATGGCTTCATCATAGATATTGGTAAGCGGTAATAAAAAGTGATAAAACATTAAGGTAAATTTTTGTTACCTGATTAGAGTTTAGAACAGTGTGCTGTCTTCTCCACTTTTTCTAATGAACTATCTGCCATCTGCTTATGAGTGAAACCAAAATTATACCAATCAACCAACTCATTGTGTACATTCATATTGAAATGACTTAATTTCTATAATATGATACACAGGACTAACTTATTAGGGGTATAGTTAATATAGGTACACATAGGGATATAGTTAGTATATTTTCTTCACTGAAAATTCTATGAAAATCCAATATTAGTATTAAAATTTCAATTAACATATTTTAATTACAGTATCCATAAAATCTAAGGAAAAATAAAAATAACCAGAGAAACTTTCAAGTGTTATATCATAGTTAAATTAACAAAATAATGGAAATGTAATATAAAATGATGCATAATATGATAGCAGCAAATAAACATACACATTTCATATAATTATTTCTGCTTATGCAACGTATTAGATATTAGTGTTGAAACTGAATATCCTAAAGTATTCAACAGTGTGTAACTTCCTGAGTTGGTATTTTCATAGATGTCCTGCTAAGGAAGCTGAGATAAAATTAGTCTGTAACCTGAAGTAACTGCTAACTTCCTTTGAAATTGCCTTCGAGCATTAAATGTGACTTGGACTGTTGAATTAATAGTTTTGACAATTCCTCATATAGTCTTATTATTCTGTTGTATTATTCTTGGCAATTGTGGTTCTCTTGATCATATATCAAATAGAAAGAAATAAGTAATCTCAGCCATCATCTGAGTTAAGTTATTTTCAACACGGGAGAGATATGCTATTTGTTCTGAAGTAATTTTCAAGTTGAAAGTATATAGCAGTAAAAAGGAAAATATATAATGTGGTTATTAATCTATTCATTTCACCACCTGGGAAAACAAAATTTATTAAATTATTTATTGAATAGTAATACAAAGGAAGAAAACAAACGTAGTGGTCTTCTGATTGTCCATAATAACCTGTATTTTATTGAATGTGATATAATTATAAATTACTCAGGCTGAAATTATAACTTACACTTTTCTTCATATTACTATTTTCAGATCTGTTTCTACTTTCATAATGTATGGGTCACCATTAGTGAATGATGTGCCTATCTTTAGAAATAAAACAATAAACTTACAGAACATGAAGGATAAATTAAGGGATTATGATACACTTAAAACCACCCTATTTGTCTTTATTTAACCCTTTGAGACTAGCTATGCAGGTCCATCTCTTTCAGATTTAATTATATTAACAGAAATTTACACCTAATGTATGTTTCAGAATGAACACATTTGGAAGAAACTCCTAGAAAACTGTCATATTTTAATAATTTTGACAGTTGCTTCAGAAATCTGGATATAACTTGTCAATTTAAAAAATTGTTATATAAAAAAGTCACGTAACAATGTGGCTTATTTAGGCTTTAGGGAATAAAATTGCACTGTTGTGAACATAAGGGACAGGAAGGAGATAAAAGCTATCATATACCGTAGGCTATGGGGAACAAATCTTTAAAACCAGATGCAAGTGCAATGGAATAATGTGCTGTTCCAACAATCTCGGTTTTATTTCTTGTGTTACAAAATGAATAATTCATGTAGAAAGGTATCAGATGTTGGATTCATTTGCTCAATAAAATCAATGCTTTTATCAAAATTTGCTTTTCTGACCTCATATATAAAAAGATGTTATGGAGAGAGATATACTGTAATCTTTTTTAATTTGAGAAAAATAACTCTTCTTCTTTACTTTTCTTCATGAGATTAAAAATATCTGAGCAATTACTATTAAATAAAGAATACCTATAATAATTGATTTAAGACAAAATTTAACAAATATGACAATATAATGGGTTCATTTTTAAATTTTTATTTTCTTCCTGTAAAATTTATATATATGAGAAAATGTCAATTAGCTATTACTAAACTAATTAGAAAATTTTTTATTTCCTATCAAAGCAGATTTTACCTTATGATGCAGGATGAGATATTCAACCTGTTATTAATAATTAAATGTAATATAACTTTTCCAAATCTTAAAATGAACCAACCAGCTGGAATTTGGCTAATCGCAATCTCCCTTCTCTTATTATCCTTAATAATTCATTGAATTAAACTGATTATTTCCTAATTTCTTAAATTCATTTTTCTTTGTTTTGTTTTCTACTTCCTTTTAATGCCCCTAAGGTGAGGAAAAAAGTCCATGAACCTTTCTTATTCTCTGTCTCCATTCTTTTACTTGAAAATGCCATTCACCGACATCAGCTATCATCTTTACACATATGTCTACCAGATTTATATCTTCAGTCTTGACCTTGTTGCTAAGTTAACGTGTCACATCTCCAACTTCCTGCTGGTGTCATGTCAATTCTATTGCCACCTTAAATTCAAAACGTCCAAAGGGATTTATCATCATCCCCAAAGAATCCAGCTTCTTTTATGTACTTTCTACTAAGAGAAGAAAAAAGGGAAAAAATTATTTTGAAGAAAATGAAACAAAGAGGAAAAATAATTTTTTAATTATTTTTTTGAGATACAGTCTGACTCTGTTGCCCAGATTGTAGTGCAGTGCCTCAATCTCAGCCCACTGTAGCCTCAGCCCCCTGGGTGCAAGCGATTCTCTTGCCTCAGCCTCCTGAGTAGTG